AAGCCAGATATTAACTTTTTTATCTTCGAGGCATGCATAGCAGTTATTGCTAGAGTGGAGGTAACCTACCTTGACTAAACTAGTAGTCCGTTTTACACGATACTCCACAGTCTTGATGTTTCTGTAACAATGCACTGGGCGCTTTTGCAGAATGTTGGGACAGACGAGGAGGACTATTCAACTCAGTCTGAACGAGCTTGAAATGCTGACCTCCCGCATTCACGCCGATTGACGTATGCGGAAAATGCTTGTCATCTGTACGAATATTTCCATTTTGTCACCGCTGTTAGTGTAGGCTTGTCGTCTGTGTGGGTTCCATGTTTCCCACAGAATGCCATCAATTATACTCTGCTTTTGTAAAACATGTGTTTCTTCGTGTTTAGAATCTAATCAAACTACCCCTTACTATCATAGGCTTCAATCGTTGTCATTTTCAAGGAAATGCCAATCAATATATTAGATTGCAATTTACTTTTGCGTGGTGAAAATTTACTCTGTCAGTTTGCCGCTTCATCCCGTTATTAATAGTCGTTTGGCGATCGGCGTTCCATAAAAAGTCACTGAGAGCTTTCAGCAACGGTCTCTTATTTCCCTTTCTGATACCCCTATCCGTCCTTGAATACCGACTAACAGTCGGACGTAACCCCTTCTGCAGACTGTTTCAGTAACCCCTAGGGGAACCCTTAAAGTCTAGGTCAGTTTTCTGAATGTATTGCTTGTATTGCCTTCGCAAAGAAATGGAAAATTTAGAAACGGTTTTGCCAACTTGGCGCACCCAAAGGGACACTGTGGTGCTTTTCTGTCAACCGACGATTTAACTGGTTGACACTGCTTTTGAGGCCTAACTATATATTTATCGCTGCATCCATGTCCGGTGCGGCTGGTCCTCGGCTATGAGCTCGGGGCTTGTTGATCTAACCTAGAAAATGTCGCTTGATGTTATCCCCCTAACAAGATTTCATAGATAGTTTAGCAATACAAGATGAATCTCCAGTGTTCTCAGCGCACTGTTGAAATGAGTATGTTTTTCATTGTTTTCTTCATAGTGACTCACCTCGGCCGATGCGCTCGCGCTGTGAGCGCTGCTCTATATAATCCCACTATTCAGGCATCTGTGACGGGTAGTTGGGACCAGACAGTTCGGATATGGGACACTCGGACTGCCTCAGGTGACTCCACAAACGACGCCACGGGAGGCGCCGTCTCGGTGCACAAACAGCCGGACAGTGTCTATACCATGGACAGCATTCAGCACCAGTTAGTCGTCGGGACTGCTGGGCGCCATGTACTCACATGGGATCTGCGGCAGATGAGCGCCCCCATCGAACAGCAGGAATCCACACTGCGTTACCAAACGCGCTGTATCCGCTGTTTCCCTAATGGCCAGGGATACGTGCTCAGCTCCATTGAGGGTAATTTGAGAGCTCCCCGGTTTCCTGTTGTTCTTGTTGTTGCTAAGCTTTCTTCTCCAAAACTCCTAAATTTTTAGATCAACTTGGTTGCATTTCCTTTAATCTTGTCGAATTTGCCTACCTCAGTACATCGTTAGAACTGAGTGCTTGTGTACCC